GAGAGAGAGAGAGAGAGAGAGAGAGAGAGAGAGAGAGAGAGAGAGAGAGAGAGAGAGAGAGATGACCAGGTTATTAAACCCGTTGCTTGTGGTGGAAATGCACAGGTAGTATTTGATGAGGTGCACTATGTAAATGATGCCGAGCGTGGTGTCGTGTGGGAGGAGGTCATCATTATGCTGCCTGACCATATCAACATGATCATGCTCTCTGCTACTGTGAGTCCTTTCATTAATTGCCTTAATTCTCCTGCGGCCGCGCCTCCACCCGCCCCAGCACCCCCTCCCGCCTCGGCTCACCCGCACTCCCCTTCCCCTGGTGTGTGCCGTTATGTTCGCTATACTCGCCACCACAAAAAAGGGGGAAAAAAGCACGGCTGTGCCAGACTGTTTCGTTGGACTTTCGCCGACTCATCAGGAGGTTGAATGCCCAACAGTCTGTGCTGGATGCATTTGACTGATGAATAAGAACTCACCACGATACGCGTGACAAAAATCGCCGACTTTACTCACACCAACCCTGCAATCTGTGTGTGTGTGTGTGTGTGTGTGTGTGTGTGTGTGTGTGTGTGTGTGTGTGTGTGCATACATGTCCTTAGTACATTTAATTTATATTTCAAATTAATCACCTGAACAATGAACCAGTTTTTGATTGAATAACTATAAAAAGATTGTAAACACAAAAAAAAACAAATTAATCAGAAGAAAAATCAAAGTTAACAACAAAAAAGCTAGTAAACATCAGAAAGATGGGTATCAGCATCTAAACATGTATTGATGTACCAAATTGATGCAAAGTGTTCCACCAATTTACAGAGAATTTCATTACTGGTATATTTATGATGTGTGTGTGTTGGCACTGCTGGGGTACGAAGATAATACGTAGAAGAAGAATAAGTGTGGTGAAGGGGTTCAAATATTATACGGAGAAGAAGAAGAAGAAGAAGAAGAAGAAGAAGAAGAAGAAGAAGGAGAAGAAGATTCTGGCCGAAGAAGAAGACGATGAACCAGAAATCCCGATCATCCTCATGTATAGACGAAGCAGAAGAAGCCCTACATATATCACTGAAGGAGAAGCTCTGCAATTTTGACCGTAGATGTGTTCAGTTAACCCTCTTCGCTCCCCTCCCCCCCCCCCCCCCCCCCCCCCCCCCCCCCCCCCCCCCCCCCCCCCCCCCCCCTTCCTTTCCCCTGTTGGCCGCCACTTCTCTATTTACCCCTCATGCAACAAAGAGATATGTGATGTATGTGACCTCTTTAGCATGCCGTTTTTCTTTTCTCTTTTTGGTTTAGGGTTTAGTTCCTTTACACTCTTTTCTATTACGTGAGATCACGGATAATACCTCTCCCGCCTCCCCCCTCCCCCCCAATGTATTCTATATCTGGCCTGGATATGTGAAACTACCGTGCGTTTTTTTTACTTTTTTTTTTCTATTTATTTGGACGTGTTTCTTCCTATTTGGTTGTGGACTGTTTCTCTACTATCTTTTTCCCTCTCATTTGAGCAGAGGTCGACATATCACATGGAATAATATTGAATCCTTTCCCCTGTTGGCCGCCACTTCTCTATTTACCCCTCATGCAACAAAGAGATATGTGATGTATGTGACCTCTGCAGCATGCCGTTTTTCTTTTCTCTTTTTGGTTTAGGGTTTAGTTCCTTTACACTCTTTTCTATTACAAGAGATCACGGATAATACCTCTCCCGCCTCCCCCCTCCCCCCCAACATATTCTATATCTGGCCTGGATATGTGAAACTACCGTGCATTTTTTTTACTTTTTTTTTTCTATTTGTTTGGACGTGTTTCTTCCTATTTGGTTGTGGACTGTTTTTCTACTCTCTTTTTCCCTCTCATTTGAGCAGAGGTCGACATATCACATGGAATAATATTGAATGCTGCTGAGAGTCGTACCCCCAATTTTGGTTGCAGGTACCCAATACTAAAGAGTTTGCGGACTGGATTGGGCGCACGAAGCAAAAGAAGATCTTTGTCACTGGGTAACTGATTTTTTTTTTAATTTTCTTTTTGACTGGTGTTATGTATCATGTGCACCACCACA